TACCATATATATATATATGGTGTGTGTGTGTGTATATATATATATACGATGTGTGTGTCTGTGTGTGTATATATATATATATATACATATGGTGTGAGTATATATATATATATGGTGTGTGTGTGTGTGTGTGTATATATATATATATAGTGTGTGTGTGTATATATATGTATATGATGTGTGTGTGTGTATATATATATATATGGTGTGTGAATATATATATATATGGTGTGTGTGTATATATATATCTATATATGGTGTGTATATATATATCTATAAATTGTGTGTGTGTGTGTATATATATATATATATATATATATAATATATGAGAGAGAGAGAGATTTTAAGGAATTGGCTTACACAGTTGAAGTGGACTGACAAGTTCAGAATCCACAGGACAAAATGGCAGACTGGAAATTCAGGTGAGAGATGATATTACCATCTTGATTCTACAGCTGGAAAGTCACATAGAATGTTTATATTGCAATTTGGAGGCAGACTTCCTTCTTCTTTGGTAAACATCTGTCTTTGCTCTTAAGGCTTTCAATGTGTTTAATGAGGACCACCCACATAAGGAGGATAATCTGCTTTATTTAATGTTAACTGATTGCAAACATTAATCACATCCACAAAATACCTTCACAGGAACATCTAGACTAATTTTTGACAAAATGACCGGGCATCATGGTATATCCAAGTTGACACATAAAATTAGCCATCGCACCTGCCTAACTAAAGTGGTTGTTACGAGATTTACTAGAACATGCAATGTGAACTTGCCAGGGGCAGGATCGGGCACAGAATAAAGGTTCCCCAGCAACTGTATTTCCTGTTACTGTTAACTTACTGCCACTGCCATCATTTCTTTTATTTTCTTCTCCTTACTTCTGGGTTTTGATACTTAACACAATACCATAATGCCAATTAACCCAAAGGAAGAATTCATTTCATCTAAATTTCCAAAGTATCTGACTTTGTAAATGTTTTCAAAGACATGCATTTTTTGGCTCTAGAGTATATTTGACCCTTGTAATTACATGCGTAGCCAGTTCCCAGTCTGCCATGACATTGGTTCCTTGAGAGTAGAATTGTATTGCCTTCATATAAAATATCCCTGGTTCCTAGCAAGTGCCAGGTAATTATCAGGTGATCAATAATAATAATGATTAATTGGGTTGATCGAACTCATGGATGAATGAGCTAGAAAAACTATAAACCATTTATACTTTCTAGAGTAAAATAATATCTTCAGTAAAAGTCTTTAAAAGACCTGTAAGTCAAAACAATAATGTTCAATTCAGACAGACTGAATCTCTATCATTTATTGTGTACACATTTTTGGTAACTGGGTATTATGTACCAAATATGTTTCTCCCCCTAAGATTCATATGTTGAAGCTGTAATCCCCAGTGTTATGGTATTTGGAAATGGGGACTTTGGAAAATGATCTGGTCATGAGAATGGATCCTCCATGAATAGGATTTGTTCCCTTATAAAAGAAGGAGGAGACACTGGATCCTTCTTTCCAACATGTGAAGCTGAAACAAGAAGACAGCCATCTGCAAACCAGGAAGTGAGACCTCACCAGCCACCAAATCAGCTGGCACCTCGATCTTGAACTTTGCAGCCTCTAGGATTCTGAAAAAATATATATTTGTTGTGTAAGCCACTGAGTCTACAGCATTTTGTTATAGCGGTCTGAGGTGTGACTGTGGGTGAGTGGAAATCCTCCACAGTCCTTCAGCATCCTTCGCCCGTATTGGTCCTGTGGTCTTATCCTTCCTGTTTTATGCAATGCCTTGTTTCCCCTATTAGAGAGCAAGTTTGTTAAAGGCAGAAACGACATTTTAAAATGTCTGTACCTGGTTCAGTTCTTGCAGGTAGTAGGCTCTCAAAAACCAAATGCTGGTTGAGTTTTTAAAGTTGAGTTACTATCTATATATCTCTCACACTTAAATTACTATCCCAGTCTTTTTAGCATCTTGATGAAGTACAAAGTACATAGAGTATGGAAGCTGGAAGGCATGCCTTCTGGGAAATTTTACATATTAAGCATAGTTCCTTTATATATATAAATGTTGATTAAATATAGTATCCTGGCCACCTTTAAAAGATACTAAGAAAAAAAATTTTTGTTTTGAAAATTAGCCAATAAAGGAAAAGACTCAAGCATTCATCTCTCCTTTCCTGTAAAATCGAAACCACTCAGCAATCAGATGGTAGACGTTTCCTTGCACAGACATATTCCCAACAAATAAATAGGGAAGATGTGATCAAACTGGAATATCATCATTTTCAATTTCTAATTAATTAGATATCTAAGCATTAAACAGAAATGGCTGCTGACAACACAAAATGACATAATCCCTCTCTTGACAAAACATATGACACCACCTAGGAAGCAATTGTTCCCCACAAAATTCAAAACAAAAAACAAGCCTCTATAATCAACTTTCAGTTGGCAAGAAATATAGAAGACTAAGGAAAACATTAAACTTTCCTATCGACATGCAATAAGCAAAATTCCAATAGAGTAAACTCTACAAGAAAAATGATGCAGTTTTCAAAGAAATAAACTTCAAAGATCAGGGAGGAAGAACCTACACATTAAAGGAGACCCAAAAGGCATATTAACAAGCAAACAAACAAAAACAGGCAGAGCTGTACTATAGTATTTAGAAATGTACATTGTTAATAAAAACTATAAACCAAGATACAGAGGTGATTATAAACTCAGCATAGTGGTCATTCTGAGGGTGAGGATGTTGGAAGGGGCAGCTGGAGGGCTCCTGGTATAGCTAGCAAGATTTTGTCTCTTTTTGTGTTTGGTTCTCAAGAGGGCATGCTCTCAAGAGCAACCACTGGGCTAGAGTCCACTGCTAGGGGACATGTCCTAAAGTCACTTTGCACAGCAACACACTTTATAAACCTGGGAATCAGTGGATGTTGTGTTCATTGTCTATCACAGTGTAATGATATTAGCACAAGCTTAGCATCTTAGAACATACATTTATGATCTCACAGTTTTTGTAGGTCAGAACCAGAGCTTTAACTGGGTCTTCCGTGAGGTTGCAAAGAAGGTGTTGTCCTGGGCTGGCCTCTTATCTGAAGCTTTGACTGGGGAAGGACTTAGCCTTTGGGTCCTAGACAATGTCCGCATTCCAGATCTCGGGATCCTATGACTAGATTACCTTATGTCACAAAGGGACTTTGCAAATGTGGTGAGGTTAAAGATTTTAAAACAGAAAGATTAGTCTGGGTTGACTGAGTGGGCCCCACGTAATTAAAAAATTTCTTTCAAGAGGGAGGCAAGAGGTCTAAAGTCAGAAAGGAGATGTGATCACAGAAGCAGAGGCTAGAGTAATATGGTTTGAAGACAGAGGAGGGGGCCGGGGGCCAGGGAATGCCAGCAGTCTCTAGGTTTCAGCCTTGTAAGACTCATTTCGGACTGATCTCCAAAACCATAAGGTAATACATTTGCATTGTTTTAAGCTACCAAATCTGTGGTAACTTGTTACAGTAGCCATAGCAAGCTCATACAGCCTGGGAGAAAAAGTCCCTGTCAACAATGAAGTATTATATGCATGTAAACAATTAGTACTATTTCAGCATCTTACTTTGAAAAACATTATCATTTAAATCAAATGGCCCCGTAGAAAAATGTATGTTACACATAGATGAAACATGGCAATTCTCAATGGAAGCTCTCCGAATAGAGTATTAAACGAAAGGCTCCATATGCATTTAGTTTCCCATTAAGTTCATTTTAAATCCCACTTCATTCCATGCATGTGGATTGTTGATCACTTTGTGATCACTTCACCTACTTGTAAAAACAGGAAATGTATGGGACACATCCCAGATCTACTAAATTACTATACAAACCTATTTCAAATACAACTGTGGTATGTTTACTAATGGTTTCCCAAAATAGCCAGGTTCTAATCATAGAAACCTGTGAATGCTACCTTATATGACAAAAGGGGCTTTACAGATGTCATTAAGTCACTGATTGTATCTTGAATTATCAGAGTGGATTCTAACTGTAGTCTCAAGTGTCCTTTAAAGAGGGAGGCAGAGGGAGATTTTACTGCAGAAAAGGAGAAGGTGATGAAATAATGCAAATAAGAAATCAGAGCTGTGTGCTTTGAAGGTAGAGGAGGGGGCAACAAGCCAAAGAATACAGGCAGACACCAGAAGCCAAAAAAGACAAGGAAATAGATTTTTCCCTAAAGCCTCCAGAGGGAAAACGACTCTACTGACCGTTATTTTAGACTTCTGAACTCCAGAACTGTAAAACAATAACTTTGTGTTGCTGTAAGCCACTTGGTTTGTGGAAATTTGTTAATGCAACAAAAGAGAAATAATAGTCTTCAATTAATGATGTTACTCCATGATTTCTCAAAAAATACATATAAATATACATACATACACGCACACACACAAATTTCCTGATGACTCCATTTATTTATTAGTTTATTTTCTAACCAAAAGTGCAAGTGCATGAAATGCAAACGTTACACAAAGTTATATTTTGGCATTACCATTTCAAGCACAGGCAATTTTCTGCATGTAAGAGTTTTTACTCAGAGAATATCACATAGAACAAATTGATAGTTTGAATTGCAGGCCATATTTGCTTTGTGAACATGCACCAAGTGTTGGGGCGGGTAGAAAGGGAACATCTTCTATAGCCCTCGAGTCAAGGCTCAAGTGTACAACTGCACCATTTTCATGCATTTCAAAGCACTTGGGTGTTTTGCCTTTATTTTGCCCTTAAGGCATTTTTCTGTGGTATGTCTTTAAGTGTAATTTAAGTGAAAGATAATTACAAGCCCCAAGATTAAAAACTTGGTTTAGAAAGTGGTTCAAAAGAATATAACATTCAGTAAATGCTTATTTCCCACCCATTTTCTTATCAACCACCACCTACTGTTGCCACCTTATATCAAGTCACTCCATTGGGGTGAATGACACACTTTTGCAGCATGATGTTTTATGTACAAATTGCATTTATTGTTATTCAAGTTGTCAAGTTGGTATTAATGACAAATTTACTTTCATTATTCTATTAAGCAATTAAGCGAGGGATAAGTGCATGTGGCAGGCCCAGGAATCTGCAGTTACAAGCTCCTCACAGAATTTCCTAATGAAAATTAATGCTCGAGAAGCACTGCCTTAGAGAATCACAGGGGAACATTTATTACAGGCGGTCTGCTCTTCATCACATTCCTGTCCTTTTCTTTTCAATTGCTGGTGTTCGAAAAGGAAAGGCAAATTAATATTATTTTCATGAGTGTATTATTATTTTGATGGAAAAACTGAGGTCATTTTAAAAATCACATAGTCAAACTAAAATGGCTTTTTCTCAATTATTCGTTTACTCCCTTCCAGCAAAACACCTGATTCCAAGTGGACTGCAACTTGGACAATTTGCAGATGTCCAGATGGAGGACATTCATCGAAGGCATTCCTAAATGACTGTCAAATTTTGATAAACCTAGATTGGAGAAAGAAGAAAAGAAATGCATAATTCATCCACATACACAGGAAGTGCAGTATCTAATCACTGCATACCCATGTGCGCATATATATGCACACATCCACACCCATACTCACAACGGGCCTGAATAATCACAACTAGGAAGAGTGGAGCCTCAGCTACAGGTACTTTCTGTTTTTGCTTTTAACCTAGCAGTTCTTAGCTCTCTCCTTTTTGCCTGAAAGGGTATAAAGGTTTCGATCCCTTAGCCCAGCCTGGTACTTCATTAACAAACATTTCCTATGGTTTTCTCTTCCCACCTGCCCTTATGCCATTTTTCAGTATTATATCTGTGTTTTAATTGCACTTTAAGTGAAAGGTAATCATGAGCCTCAAGCAGCTTAAAAACTTGGTAAAGAAAATGGCTCTCTTCTGCCCAGTAGAACAGCCTGCAGGGTAACAGGTGGATTTTCCCCCTATTTTTGTTCTCTAAAGTTTATTCATTCATTCGTTAAGTATATGAACATACATTCCTTCATCTAAGAGAGAACAGATGTTATCCACTTGTTGCTATGAAATCGTAAGTATGCAAAATGTGTACTGCCGATGCTAACGTATCATTACTAACATGAGATACCTGTGCTGATCCTTATTTGCAAGGGGCAGTCAGGCCAATGGTGAACAAGATAGATAGTCCCTGTCATCACAGACTTTACATTTAGTGAGGAAAGCAGTGGACTAAGAATTTCATTATGTTATGAAAAGGGATATGATCTGAGAAGTGTGAGGTGCTGAAGAGATGCCGAATCTAATCTAACTTGCACCGTGCAGGGTGGGTGGGTGTGTTGCGGGGAGGGCGCTGCACTAATATTTGCTGAACTGAATTCAGTGCTTGCCCTCCACTTCCTTAGATCCTCATCACTGATTGTTAGAGGAGACTTATGAGTCATTCTTGACTCTAGATATTAATAATCATGTCTTTGGTTTATTAGTTTCTCGGTATGTTTATATAAGAGGGAGAGGGTTGCAAAGTCTTTAACATACACGCAGAGCTCTTGGCTTTCAAGGAAGTACTTCAAGAAATGATGCAGCAAATACATTCAATTTAATGAATATTTATGGAGTACATATGATTTTCAAGGCTTTAGTGGTAGATACAAAAATGAAGTCAATCGTCCTTGGTTTCACAGGTCTTAAATGCAAGTGTGTGTGTATATGAGGCTGGTGGGCAGGAAACAGAAAAACAGAATGGGAACGAGAGAAAAACAAGTAAAAGCATGTACACAAATAATCAAAGAAGGAAGCTTATTCCACAAGTGAGTCAGAAGATAAGAGCGTTTGTTCATGATACAAATATTGGCCTGATGTATTTCTTTTAGGAGAGAACAAACAAAGAGTTCAGAACAATGGGAAGTTCTGAGAAAACAGCAGGTGACATAACCCCTGCATTCGAATATTGGCTCTTCCAGGAGGGACCCCCTGAGCATACTCCGCACTCCTCTTAGTCTCACTTCCTTGTGCTCCCCTGGCTCCTGTACCATATTAAAAGGCAACTCCACCTTGCCCTTTACATGCCCTTTACTCTAATGAGACGATGAAATCTTGAGCCAGCCACATGCCGGAGCATTGCCACGCTAGCACGTAGTGACTGTGTCCAACCCATGATAGACACTCCATTAACAGCAGTTGAGCTGAGCTGGGCACCCCATACAGTATAGAACATATCATAAATTCTCAATAAAGATTTGGTAACAGGTGGTGTCACTTTAAAAATCAAGGAGTAGCCGGGCGCGGTGGCTCAAGCCTGTAATCCCAGCACTTTGGGAGGCCGAGGCGGGTGGATCACGAGGTCAAGAGATCGAGACCATGCTGGTCAACATGGTGAAACCCCGTCTCTACTAAAAATACAAAAAAAAAAAAAAAAAAAAATAGCTAGGCATGGTGGTGCATGCCTGTAGTCCCAGCTACTCAGGAGGCTGGGCCAGGAGAATTGCCTGAACCCAGGAGACGGAGGTTGCGGTGAGCTGAGATCGCGCCATTGCACTCCAGCCTGGGCAACAAGAGTGAAACTCCGTCTCAAAAAAAAAAAAAAAAAAAAAAAAAAAAAAATCAAGGAGTAAAGGTTTTAGAAATCATCTTTTCAAGATTCTTGTAGTTAATGTGCAAATGATTACCTGGAGAAGTAGTTAAAAATAAAAAAATAAAGACACCCTCTGAAACTTTGATTCAGAAAAGTTGCAATCAGGATCCGGAAATCTGCTTTTTAAACAAGCTTCCCAGTTAATTTCAGAGCCATATTTTGAGAAACTCTGCTCTCCTTACAGAGCTTTCTAGCAAAACTATCCTTGTCTTTCTGATTTATTGCACAGGTTCATCTTAAAACCCAGGGAGAAGGAATTTATAGAATTCACATTGACGAATGATAGTAATGTTTTCATTTTTGAAAGTTGGGCAACAAAATTGCTCTTTGGGTGAAAATCAGACATGATTAGTTAGTCCACTCCTGACTAATTGTTATCTCAGCCCATGAATCTGAGAATTCATGCGAGCCTGTGGTCATGTCATGTAGGAGACATCTCTACCCCTCTGTACAGCCATAGAGAGCAACCTGTACCTAGAGAAAGGGAAGTGAGTATCTCAGAATTGTTTTAAACAAATGTCATTCATTTCTTTTTCTTTGTCTTTTTAAGACAATTTTTCTCTCTGTAGCCCAGGCTGAAGCGCAGAAGCATGGACACAATCACAGCTCACTGCAGCCTCGACCTCCTAGGCTCAAGCAATCCCTCCACCTTAGTCTCCCCAGTAGCTGGGACTACAGGTGTGCATCACCACACCCAGCTAATTTTGTTTATTTTCTGTAGGTCTGGCTATGTTACTCAGGCTGATCTTGAACTCCTGGACTCAAGGAATTCTCCCGCCTCAGCTTCCCAAAGTGCTGAGATTACAGGTGTGAGCCACCATGTTGAGCCTTATCATTAATTTCAAGGGTTAAATTATAAGAGTTTCTTGAGTTATCCAAAGATTCAATTTTCTAAATATCAGGTTGAACAAAACTTAGCTATATGTGCATCCCCAGAAACCTGAAATACCTAGAAATTATGGGAAGCATCACTCAAAATGTCAGTAAATCAATATTGGCTAGACTCTTAAACAAAATAAATTTTCACTAAACCCCATTGTGATTTCAGAATTAACACAGATTTTGTAAGAGTGCCATAGTGAATTAAAGACCTCGGTCTCCAAGCCATGGGAGTTTGCCTCTGGCAGCCATATTGAAATGAAGGTAATTAACACAGTTCATCTTGCAATAGGATAATGCTTTCAGACTGTTTGAAATTCTACGAGCATCCCACCCAGACCCCAGTAACCCTTTGAAATATGCTGAACCATGGCAGTTAACACACAAGGGGATCATTAAATGAATAAGAGAAGGCAGAGAAATCAGTTTGTAACTGAGATCATTTCATGGGCAGTTTGCCAGCTATTCGGGAAAGTCTAACACAAAGGTTTCTTCATATGAGGCATTTATAAAGTGTAGTGCTATGACTCTACAAAATCACTTTTAAAAATATTTTAAAGGACATTGCCTTTCAAATTATTTTCTAAGTCCTGCTGCTTAAAAATTTTTTTGATGTAAAAATTTAGGAGGCAGATGATAATACTATTACATTTTATCAGCAACAGAAAGTAGTCTTCAGGACAAATGACCAGGACATTTCCTACATGTAGTCACTGTCATCTGTTACACAGCGGAAACCATTCTCAGATATCAGATTATGGTCACTTTTGTCCAGACAATTATGATTACACAGGCAACACTTATGGAGCACAGGCAGGGGTTTTGAAATAGCTGGCAAGGCTGAGAAACAATGATTTCACATCTTGAGTGAGAAAGAGGAAATATTTGAAAGTCATTTTAAAATGATCAAAATTGGAATAAAATATAGGCATGATCACAATAACCTGAGAAGCAGTTACTTACAAGCTATAGTTACCATCAACGAGTATGTGAAGACATTGGCTAAGATTTCTCCCATAAACCATCTGAAACAACAAGATTGCTCCAATTTAGCATACTGATTAGGCATTTCCAACCCAATTCCAATGTGATGTTTTTTAGATTTACTATAGACACGTGATTTCAAGGTTTACTATAAAACAACAGTTATAAAGAGAGTGTGGTATTGGCAAATGGACAGACATATAGATCAATGAAAGAGAGTAGACAGCCCAGAAGTAGACTCATGCAGATAGAGCAAACTGATTTGAATTGAGGTGCAGAAGCAATTCAAAGGAAAACATACAGTCTTTTCAGTCAATGGTGTTGAAACAATTGGATATTCATATTCAAAAAAGGAACTTCGACATATATAACACACCTTACACAAAATTTAATTCAAAATGGGTCATAGACCAAAAATGTAAACTGTAAAAGTGTAAAACTTCTAGACGAAAACACAGGGGAATATTGATATGACCTTGCATTTGGCAATGAGTTTTAAAATACAATACAAAATGCACAATCCATGGAAGAAAAGAAATGAATAATTGGACTTTATCAAAATGCAAAACTTTTGCACCATGAAAGACACTGCTCAGAGAATGAAAAGACAAGGTACAGTCTGTGAGAAAATATTTGCAAATGGCATATCTGATCAAAGACTTCTATCCATAATATATAAAGAACTCTTAAAATTCAATAATAAGAAAACAAGCAGCCCACTTGAAAAAATGAGCAAAAGATCTGAACAGACACTTCACCAAAGAATATATGCAAATGGCAAATAAGTATAAGAACAAATGTTCAACATCATTCATTATCGGAGTAATGCAAATTAAAACAGTCAGGTATCACCACATACCTAGTAGAATGGCGAAAACCCAAACATCTGACAAATGAAATGCTAGGGAAGATGCAGAGCAACAGAAACTCTCATTCATTGCTGTTAAGAATGAAAATGGTGTAAACACTTGGAAGATAGTTTGGCCCTTGCTTACAAAGTGAAACATAGACTTATCATATAACCCAACCGTTGCACCCCTTGATATTAATTGAACTGTGTTGAACTCGGTGTCTGTGCAAAAATCTGCATGTGATTCTTTGTAAAAGCTTTGTTCAAAATTATCAAAAACTGGAAGCAATGAAGACACCCTTCAATAGGTGAATGTATAAACAAACTGTGGTACATTCATACAAGGGAATAAGATTCAGCAACAAAGAGGAATTAGCTAATTGTAGAATGGCACATTTATTATTGCTATGGGTTAGTATCTTTTCTTAGAGGAAGTGAATAGTTTTTTATATTAATCATATACAATCAAAATATTTCATAAGATAAACAATTGTTTCTGACAAAATAAGAAATGAAGGGAAGACAGAAATGGTGGGAAAAACTGAAGTCCCATAAGTGATGGCAGCAGCAGCCCATCTGGAGCAGCTGCTGCAAAGACACCAGCTGCAGCAGGGGAGGAGTGGCCAGGGTTGTGTGCTACATAGAGCCTGCAGGAGCTGGGAACAGGAGGGAGCTGGAAACAGGAGGGAGCCCGGAAACAAACAGGAGGGAGCCCGGAAACAGGAGGGAGCCCAGAACCGGAGGGAGCCAGAACTGGAGGGAGCCTGGAACCGGAACTGGAAGGGAGAGGCCCGCCCTCCCAGGTGCAGCTGCAGCTGCCCAGCCACGTCTTTGAACCCAGGCATCCCTGCCCTCTTGCGGGCCTTGGAAGCCCCCCTGCCCCTGCAGGCTTGGAAGTGCCGGCTCCTGCCCCTGGACTCTCCCTGCTCCCGTTGCCTGCTCTGATTTCCCAGCAAAGTTGTGGCTGGGCCTGCGTGCTATCACAACCTAGCCGGATGTCTGCACACTTCCAGCAGTACTGACAAGACGCTGCCTGCTGTCTCAGCCCCCTCCGGACTTTGAACACCGACCAGCGTCAGAGGGAGGCCAAGAGAGGGCTGAGGGCAGCTCCCTCCTGCAGGCAGCCCCCACCCCGACTAACAGCCTGAGTGCCATGGGTGATATGTTGATGGTGGCAGGAGGCAGAGTGGATCCTGGGCAGAAAGGGACATGTCCCTGGTGAAGCCCCACCTACCAGCCAGGGACAGCCTGAAGCCTGGGAGCTGGACTGCCAGTTCCCCGTGAAGGAGGCCCAGAGTGAGAACTTACGGTGCTTTTTCTGGCCCCCTTCCCCTGCCGCCATGGCTGCCCATAGACCAATCAGCACAAAGGTCCTCCCTTCTGAGCCCATAAAAACCCCCAGACTCAGATTCACAGAGAGGTTGGGACTACCAGCTATGGGAAGGAGCTACCCACTCTGGGTATCCTCTCCACTGAGAGCTGGACACTCATCAAGATGACCTGCCTATGGATAGGAGCTACACACTGCATGAGGGCTGAACTCACTAGGATATATGCCTGTGGAAACGAACTACCCATTTCAGGTCTCCTGAGAGCTGTTCTGTTGCTCAGTGATGTGCCTCTCTACCTTGCTCACTCTTCCAGGTGTCTGCATACCTCATTCTTCCCAGATGCAGGGTAAGAACTTGATACCACCCAAATGGCAGGACTGAAAGAGCTGTAACACCAACAGAGCTGAAACATTTCCCCACGCCACCCTGTCCAGCAAGTTGTGCAAAACAAGGAGAGAAAAGTTGCAGCCCCTTGGGGAGTGCAGACCTAGGGGCTCCCTAAGCCAGGGCTGAAACACCCTCCTTGGAGATGTGTGGTTCCTGACATCTCCAAGCTTTTGGGTGCCACCTCATTTCCCTTGTCCAGATGCTGGTGTCCACAGCAGAAGCTGCTCCTGGTATGTTTGATCCAGCCAGCCATGGCCTCACATGGAGCTGGCACCTGTGAGGTGCCAGTTAGGGTTAGGGCTAGGAGTTGTCTGCTTCACTGCAGCAGCTGGTGTGTCTGGCTGTGCATGGTGACCAGACTCCACATTTGTTTGCTCTCACATCTGTCACCACTTCACACCTTGCTTGCCGTTGGCAGGCATGTGACCCAGGCTAGTAGTGTTGGCCAAGCACAGCCTGCCAGGCTGAGTGGAACAAGACCAGTGGACACAGGCAATACTTAGCAAGAAGGCACCACCAGCAACAGAGGTTTCCAGCTGGCAAAGTGACACCCCAAGGATCCCATGACAAAAGGAGCAAAATTCAATGTGAGATCTAAGCTCACGTTTCTGCTCCCTTCCCCACCTGTCTGTTTTTGGTAATAGTTACTTTTAAGCTAAAAAAAAAATGAATGAGGTATTAATTCATACAACAGCATGTATAAATCTTTCTACATCTTGCTCTATGAAAGAAGCAAGACTGAAAATGTTATGTTCTGTATGACTACATTAATATAACAATCTAGAGAAGCCAAATCTATAGGGACAGAAAACAGATCAGTGGTTCTCAGGAGTTTGGGGAAGAAGGAGTGTTTGACTACAGAACCACAGAGAAACTTTTAAGTATGATAGAACTAGTTTGTATGGTACTGTAGTGATGGGTAAATGGCATTGTGCAATTTGTCAAAACCCATAAAACTTTGCAGCAAACCTTCATGCATACAAATTTAGAAATATCAATCAGGAAGTTGGGGGATTCCAGGATGGAATGCAGACAAAATAATCTAACTGTAGTATAAATGTGTAGCATAATCTCACTGAAGGGAGTGGGGAAAAATAACTTTGGAAAATGGAGTTTCAGCTGGACTTTTAAGACAAAAGGTATAATACGGAAGCATGGTACTCAAGTCAGGAAGATTGTTTCTCACAGTTGGTATGGATTAATTCAGATATGTCTGTACGTGTAAACTAGCATTGAACAAATTAGTAAATGGATGCCAGATGGTGGAAACCTGATTTCTAACTGTAGGAGCACGAGGTTACAGGGAGGCAAGGTGAGGAGAAGGCTAGAATGAAGCATGTGGTATTGAGTTAGAGTTAGATATAACAATATGATTGATATTTTGCTTAAAATATATGCATGCATGGTCACAAAAATACTTTTTGGTATGTAGGTATACATGGGTCAGTAAACATACACATATTTCTTATTCCATCTACTGACTGGCTATAGAAGCAATAACATCCCAGTAGCTCTGAGCACACCCAGCATCTAGATCTTGGTTTCTAGTGTTCTATAATAGAAAGAATAAGGGGTGCTTAGAAAAAAAGGCTGAGGGCTGGCTTATCCCTGTTAACACGGACTTGTTCAAACAGTTGCAGCCGTGTTGGTCCAGTTTCTCTGCTGAAGAGTTACCTTTTTTACCCCTTTCCTCACTCTACTCCCTGGAAGAAGTTTCTAATTGCAGCCCTCCCTCAAAGGATTAAGAGTTAAGCTCCACCTCTTAAGGGAGGAGTAGCTACAAACATGAATCTAAGGAACATTCATCTACAGCCCTGTGAAAGAAAAGAAAGGGCTCTGAGATCAACTCGGAAGCTTGGAAAACACAAAGTGAAATGAAGCTGGATGTGTTCCTTCACCACATTATTTCACTGATTGTTATACTAATGCACATCATGGTACTCCAACTTGGGATATATAGAATGCAGAATTTTGCAAATTTATTTTTAACTACAGGAGCACCCCCCCCCAACTCCACTTTTGTTCTTTTGGTCCCATTGTGATCTAAAAATGTTTTGCAAACCTCATAATTATCTGGGAAGCTTATTTTAAAATAACAATTTTCAGTAAATCTAAATTAGTATCTCAAGAGACGGGATCTAGGACTTTGGATTTAAAAAAGCAACTCCTCTAAGGGACGCTGCTGTATTTGACCCGCAAAATGCGGGACTCAAGAGCAGGCAGCCCATGCTGTCCAGAGTTCAAGAACCATAAAGACCCCTGGACTGTTCTATTCACCTTTGTTTCATTGATTCAACAAATATTGAAGAATTCCAGGCACTGAGGATTCTGAAGTGAGGGAGACGCACAATGTGTCCCCGAAGTCGGCTCTCAGGTAGCTCATATTCTTGTAGGGAAAAGCAGATCCCATTAAAATTTCAACAGATAATCATGTCACAGGTCAGGGAATAATAAGTGCTCTAAATAAAAGTAAAGCAAGGTACATGTGACAAAGAGTGGCATACTATTTACACAGGATTTTCAGGGAAGATCTCTCTGATGATGTGACATTTGAATGGATTTTATCAAGAAGTAAGGCCACATGTAATGAGGATATCTAGAGAAGGATCATAAGAGACAGAGTACACAGCAAGTGCAAAAGCCCTGAGACAGAAGTGGGCTTAGCACCAAGGAACTTGATCACTGCCCTGGCGACTTGGACAGGGAAAGAAAAGAAGGCAGAGGAAGAACATGCAGGCCGGAGGGTGGAGAATAAACATACCTATAAGAAGGCATAAAGAGACAATTTATGTGGGGATATCCAACTACAATGGGAAAGTGGAGTCTCTGCAGAGACCCTAAGTCCCATAATGGGGACTTCAAGTTCCTTTGAACTCCAGGCAGGGACTCTTAGAGTATACCTGTAACAGGGGCCACTTCTTTTATGGACAAAAAGCGATACAATTTTAAGCAAGGTACACTAGGTTTTGTTTGCTTTCTAGGTTTGTTTTTGTTTTTGTTTTGAGATGGAGTTTCACTCTTGTTGCCCAGGCTGGAGTGCAATGGTGTGATCTTGGCTCACTGCATCCTCTGCCTTCCAAGTTCAAGGGATTCTCCTGCCTCAACCTCTGACAGCTGGGATTACAGGTGCCCACCACCACACCCGGCTAATTTTGTATTTTTAGTAGAGACGGGGTTGCACTATGTTGGTCAGGTTGGTCTCAAACTCCTGACCTCAGGTGATCCTTCCACCTCGGCCTCCCAAAGTGCTGGGATTACAGGCATGAGCCACTGAGCCTGGCCCCCTTTCTAGGTTTTGTATGCTTTGTGACAGGATAGAGATAGGCAATGAGAGATAGCAGGGTACTTACCATGGATACACAAATGAACAAATCTTAACCACAGAGCCACCTAACATGTTTTGTGGAATAAGGCAAGAAAAATTATCAATCAATTATAGCTTCACTAATTATGAAACACCACTGCATGAAAATAAAATCTGAATTACCTTGCACATGCAGAAATGATTAAGCACACAGCAAGTAGGATTGCCTGAAAGCAGACGTCTTGCAACAAACTGGTTTCTAATAGAAAGAGCAAAAATAAATAAATAAGAAATCATTGCTGATTCAATCATCTTGGAACAAGAAAATCATCTCAAACTTCCCTTCTACCTACCAAAAACAAAAAAAGTGTTTGAATGTATGTCAGTTCAAGTGATGTATTATAAATAACAAGATAAAATTACCTAATGTTAGACAGGGCTGTCAGACAATTTTCTGCAAATAATTGCTTTCTTCAATCCCTGTAAAATAAAACTATAAAACTATTTACACAGTTTAGGGCTTGCCTTTTGATTTCATTTTGGGGAAAGGCTTTGTAGAGTTTAGGATAATGTAAGAAATCTAACTCTGCAATTGTGATGATAATAATAATAGTGCCTAAAATCTATAAAGTGCCTTATAATTCACAAAGAGCTTTCATACGTTAGTTCACCTAAACAGCACCACAACCCTGTGAGGTGGGTGCCATTATCTTGGTTCTGTGAAGAGAAGAACAAGACTAAAAGAAATGATGAACTTGTCCAAGGTCACACAGCTATGAGGTGTCACAGCCAAGATTAAAAAACCACATCTAGACAGAACATAACATTTTGTCTGAAGTGGGCAGGAAAAGACAATTGCAACTTTGTATACTGGAAGTCTGTAAAGACCAAAAATGAGAACATATATTATGAAACATTTGTCTCTGCAATCAGTACAATATTTCAGTACTACCAAGCCACAGTAGTAACTACAAATCATCAAGCAATTATAGGCATAAGAGTTAAACCAATCATGAACCTCAGGATTATTCTAATCACCTTACACAAATTAAAACAGTTTTAAGGATTACCACATCAAAACCTAAAGGAGAGTATAAAGAGATCTCAACTTAATTTTTGTCAAAATGCTTCAAAAGCTCAATTTTGCAACAGTTGTTTAAAACTTGGAATGACTTTATGCTATAAATGCATTTATTTTTGCTATTTATGCCATGAATGAGGACTGAGTCAGCTAACAAAACTTACTTAGCCCATAATGCGGGTGGAATACTGAAGATTGGCAATTCAAAATATCACAGTAGTAAATTATGTCACTGCAAATGTACAGTCGTTCATGTACATTGTGAATTAAGTTATTGTGAGTTCAACTGAACACTCAACCATCCTCCTAAAGTGTGTTTCTATTCTTAGCCTCCCCTGATTTCATGTGGATTTTGGAAAAAATTTCCTCACAGAAAGAAATCCAGCTTGAAAAACTGCAAAGATCACTAGACTTGGATACTGAAGGATGAATGCATTTAAGTTTGAGATCTACAAAGATGAGTTGTGTGATTTGGGATGAGTTATTCATGGATTCTTTCCTTAAGTAGCCATTTGCTGAATACCTCCTTCAGCTCAGCTCAAGTGTAACCTCTTTCAAGAAGCCTACCTTGATTCTACTAGCTCCTCCTTGGCCCTTAGCTAGCTGCTCCCTCCCTGGACTCCCATTATACCTTGTTCATATCTTCATTAACCCTCCTTCCACATTGAATTACAAATTCTGTGATATTTCTCCATATTCCTCCACCAGACTGCAAGCTCACAGAGAAAATAATCAGTATCTAGCTTCTGTTCTCTAGGGACAGTGCCCATATTTTCCTTGCAGAATCACCTATCCCCACCTTTGGTGCACAGTTTAGGTGAAGTGACTGAGTTTTTCTGATTTTCCTCGAAGCATTTTTTTTCCTTTCAAGCTTTTTGGAGTTTCACATACTTATCAACAAGGTTTTGTCAATGTGAAACAGGCCTTTCCAGAACCAACAAATCAATTATTGACCCCTTGTCATTAATCGAGACCAGGCGTCCCCAAACTACGGCCCTTGGGCCACATGCGGTCCCCTGAGGGCATTTATCCGGCCCCCCACCGCACTTCAGGAAGGGGTACCTCTTTCATTGGTGGTCAGTGAGAGGAGCACAGTATGTGGCAGCCCTCCAACGGTCTGAGAGACAGTGAACTGGCCCCCTGTGTAAAAAGTTTGGGGACACCTGGTCTAGACAGATGTAAGCTCTGTCTGCTGAACAGGAAACTGGAAAGGTGTAGGCACAGATCCACCAGGATCCAGGCAAACATACAGTAACAGTGCAAATAATGGGCATGAGAAAGAGAAATCCTGGGAGCTAGAGGAGTGCCAAGAAGGGTGGGCTCCCTGGAGGAGGTAGCAATTGAGCCTCCTTACATGTTAATAACCTGAATACTGAATTGCCAGTCTTCAGTATTCCACCTGCATTACGGGCTAAGTAAGTTTTGTTAGCTGACTCAATCCTCATTCATGGCATAAATAGCAAAAATAAATGCATTCATAACATAAAGTCATTCTGAGTTTTAAACAACTGTTGCAAAATTGAGCTTTTGAAGCATCTGACATGGAAGGAGGACTTTTTCTTTTCTTTCTATTTTTTTTTTTCTTTTTGAGACAGAGTTTCACTCCACTGCCCAGGCTAAGTGCAGTACATGATCGTGGCTCACTGCAGCCTTGACCTCTTAGGTTCAGGTGATCACCCACCTCGGCCTCCCAGGTAGCTGGGACTTTAGGCATGCACCACCACACCCAGCTAATTTTTTTTAGAAATTGGGTCTCACCATGTTGCCCAGGCTAGTCTTCAACTCCTGGGCTCACAAAATCCTATCACCTCAGCCTCTCGGGTAGCTGAGACTATAGGCATGAGCCACCATGCCTGGCTAATTTTTGTATTTTTTGTAGAGACAAGGTCTTACTATGTCACCTAGGCTGGTCTGGTACAACCTTTTAAAGAGTAACACAGACACAGAAGAGAAGAGAGAACAAAAGACAAAGAATGACAGGATCCTGCACTGTAAGCCTGGGATTTTCTTTTCTTTTCTTTTTTTTTTTTTGAGGCGGAGTTTCGCTCTTGTTACCCAGGCTGGAGTGCAATGGCGCGATCTCGGCTCACCGCAACCTCCACCTCCTGGGTTCAGGCAATTCTCCTGCCTCAGCCTCCTGAGTAGCTGGGATTACAGGCACGAGCCACCATGCCCAGCTAATTTTTTTTTTTTGTATTTTTAGTAGAGACGGGGTTTCACCATGTTGAGCAGGATGGTCTTGATCTCTCGACCTTGTGATCCACCCGCCTTGGCCTCCCAAAGTGCTGGGATTACAGGCTTGAGCCACCGCGCCCGGCCAAGCCTGGGATTTTCATTAAGATGAGTCAATACATTCTTTTATTGATTGATCCACTTTGAGTTGGGTTTCCATCTACTGGAACTCAAAAATCTTCAACTGATACAGATGAAGTACCTACCTATATCCTTAGCACCTGGAACAGAACACACATGCAAAACCTACATGCAAAGGACTTAAAGGAAGATGAAGACCTTGTCCACCCAGGACTTCATAGCCCAGTGAGAGAGAGGAAAACAAACACTTTCTATAGCGAAAAATAGAGTGCCAGAGAATCGAGGCGAAGTGAAGTGCTAATACCACCAGCCAGAAGGGGATAGAGAAGGCGCAGAGAGGAAGTCTCATCTAATTGGAGCCTTGAGGAAGGGCAGGGAAGCCACCCAGGTATAGCAGATGGGAAAGATACTCCAGACACAGCAAAGAGCTTATATTTGTTCTTACAAAACTCTGGGCAAAGAGTACAAAGGTTAACTTTACCTGTCTAAATCTGAATATTCTTATCTGTAAAATGGAGGTAGCACACTTATTAATTGGTCCATCAGCCATAAAGCATTATCTCTGTGCCTATGTGGGCATTTTGGAATTCACAGATGAATATGACCTAGTGCTCATATTTAAGGAGCTCACAGACGCAAACATACAGTAACAGTGCAAATAATGGGCATGAGAAAGAGAAATCCTGGGAGCTAGGGGAGTGCCAAGAAGGGTGGGCTCCCTGGAGGAGGTAGCTATTGAGCCTCCTTGGGTGTTAATAACCTGTCATTTCAACATCTGGAAAGGGAACATTAAAAACAAACAAAAACAAACAAAAATTCAGAAGACTTATCTAGTAGCTATACTGGGAACACAATATAAAAAGCATACTGATCTTCAGGACGAGAAGAGTAATGGCCAGTGAAGTTAATATTTATAATTTTGTGAAAGGAAATAAAGAGAAAATATTTTTTCCATTTAATTTCAACTTTATGTAACAATCACTTCACATTTACTGAGTATTCAGTAGACATGACACAGTATGCTAAGTACTTTACATGAGTTATTCTAGTCATTACAAGGTAGGAATTTTGATCATCTCCATGTAGAGATAAAAATGTGAAGTTTGAGAGAGTTTGGTAAACTGCTTCTGAGTTATAGCTAACGGGTAGGGAGCTGGGCTTTTAATCTCAGCAAGCCAATGACAGAGTGAGCTCTCTTCACCTTGCTGCAGCACCATGTCCAAACATGTTTAATCTGACATTAGCAAACTAGAGATTAAGGGACATGCTTGCTGAATTTATACCAAATGCCTTTATTATTTTTTGACTTTCCGTGGTCAAGAACATAAAGGATGTTCTTTTCATTCTTTTTCTTCCTCCTTGTCCTCCGCCTCCTCCTCCTCCTCCTCCCCCTCCTCCTCCTCCCACCCTCCTCCTTCTTCTTCTTCCTCTTCTTCATTTTTTGAGATGGAGTCACACTCTGTCACCCAGGCTGGAATGCAGTGGTGCGATTGCAACTCACTGCAACTTCAGCCTTCCTAGTTCAAGCAATTCTCCCTGCCTCAGCCTCCCAAGTAGCTGGGATTAAGGTGTGTGTCATCATGCCTAGCTAATTTTTGTATTTTTACTAGAGCTGGCATTTCACCATGTTGGCCAGGCTGGTCTTGAACTCCTGACCTCAGGGTATCCACCCACCTTGGCCTCCCAAAGTGCTGAGATTACAGGCAAGAGCCACTGTGCCTGGCCTTTTTTTTTCTTCTTATGTAGTATGTCCACTACACAGCTAAGAATTAAAATAGGAAACATCTGTGTATCTTCCACTCTGCTTTATTGAAGCTAACGTTTTACAAAATAGTCTCAGGATTTTCTTTTTAATAGAGCACTGCAGACCCAGTGCTTCTGGTGCCTCTAACATGACACTCAAAGGCAAAGGGTCATCTGGGCTCTAGCAGAGGCCAGGTGTCCTCCCCTCTTCCCACGGTTTGGTACCAGCTCCTAAGGGCACATTAGTCATTCTCAGGTTCTGAAAGGAAGAATTCTTTGGGTGTGGCAAAGATTTTGAAAACCTGAACTCACCTGAATGATCTGAACTATCCTCTTGGAAATGTTCAGAAGCTGTCAACTGGGACTGAAGAGACGAGTCGTGGAAGTTTCCTCCAGGAGGTTGAGATATGATGTGGCTGGAAGAGGTTATTGCAGACTCTGTATTCATCTTCCCTGACTTCCAGTCACCAGACAGAGAAGAACAGTCCAAATCACCTCCTGGAAAAGCAGAGGGGGTCAGTGAGAGAGAGAAAGAGAAAGAGAGAGAGAGAGGGAGAGAGAGAGTGTTCACTGACTCCTCAATGCACAGTTAGTTCCTAATATTCACAAAAATAGTATCATTGATACACTATTGCACTACCATAGTGGGATGGGGGAAGGTTTTCTGGATGAGATGGTGTATTAGTCTGTTGTCATGTTGCTGATAAACACTTTCCTGAGACTGTGTAGTTTATAAAGAAAAAGAGGTGTACTAGACACACAGTTCCACATGGCTGGGGAGGGCTCACAATCATGGTGGAAGGCAAGGAGGAGTAAAGTCTTGTCTTACATGGATGGCGGCAGGCAGGCAGAGAGAGAATAAGAGCCAAGCAAAAAGGGAAACCTCTTATAAAACCATCAGATCTCATGAGACTTATTCACTTTCATGAAAACAGCATGGGAAAGACCCATCCCCATGATTCAATTCCCTCCTACCAGGTCCCTCCTACAACACATGGGAATTGTGGGAGCTACAATTCAAAATGAGATTTGGGTGGGGACACAGGTAAATCATATCAGATAGCATTTCTATTTGTCATCATCTTTGAAGGTTGAAGAGAAGTATCCGGTGAAGAGATAAACAAAGGCCAGAGGTATCTTCAATGACATTGAGGTTTGCATAGATGGATTTAAAAGACATGTAGTCAGATGAACCTCATATATTTATAGGACCAAACTTTAGCAGTCAACTCCTTCTACTTCTAATTCGTTTATTCATTTAACATTTATTGAGTGTGACTACGTATCAGAAACTGACCTAGCTGCTGGGATATAGTGGTGAATTAGAACAATATCTCTGTCCTTACATACTGCTGGAGGACAGGGGAGAAAATATCTTGTGGTAAGTGTCATGAAGGAAATTCTCCCTCTATAAAATACATTGAAATGCTGGATAAAATATAGCAACCATCTGTTTAAATTTTTTATTCAAAGAGGCTATTTCATACATACATAGCTTCAAGAACATGCACCCATTTTCTTCTATGATGATTCATACATAAATATATTTTACTGTCCCTAAACTTAGCCTGACATTCTCACAAAAAAGTCAAGTTTATTGCAAAAGCATGCATGCAGCATCAAGTGTCAAACATGCTAAGGTGACTCCTCATAACAATTGGTGTCTTCAGTGTGAGGTCAACAAGGAATGAATTTTAATCCTTGTTTGAGTCAGAGATGAAGGGATCCCAAGCCAAAGCTCCCTTGGAAAGGATGAATGTGTTAAAAGTGCCTTTCAACAACAGGGAAAGTTAAGCACCACACCTCTGACTCTGCCACTGGAAGTCTCTCATTTGGTTCATCTGGCATAAATGTACCTAGGAATTCTCTTGGTTCTGTCTTGAGTGGTCTGTATCATATTCCAGGGTTTAACTTTACTCTTGTGATCTTGGTTAAAAATTCAAGCCAGTTTAGAGCTCATTGACTTGGAATCAAAGCCACTCAGAAAAAGTAGCCAGAGTCCTGCCTTGGGACACAGGTATTTTCTAGGCTGATATCTAAAAGAGATTACACATGCCCAACAAATGTTATTTTTCTTTAACTCTATACCTGAGCTCAAAAGAAGGAATTATTCCCAAAGGCATGTGCTGTGGATGAAACTTCCAAAAGGGGTGGGGAGAGGGCCTTCGAAGTCATATTAATCAAAGGTCTATGGATTAACTGACATTAGGGACAAGGAAAAGGCCTTGATCTCAAGAGAGGCAGAAAATTGAAACCGATAGGACTCAAAATGCTACTTCCTCAATGAAAACATGGCTAGGAAAAAACATCTGCCCACTAGTTCTAGGAGAAGGCATGAAAGCTTATCTCTTTTGGCCTAGGTAATGAGTGGGAGGAAATGTCTCCCCTAACACTTTATAAGTAAGTGGGTTTTGAGTTAAAATTTATGCTAACCTGAAAAGTTAATATTTTAAAAAGTCCCAAGCTGATACTAGCCCTGTGACATCTGCCAGAAGCCAACATAAAAGCTCTCACTGAAAACACACTGTAAGCCAATCTGCAAAGATTTCCCCAGATAAAGCCCAAAGGACATGAGCTCACAATCTAAAATTACAAATTATACAGAGAAATAATCTCCCATGGGTAAGGAGAATAAATATGGTGCTTCAAAAAAAAGATAATCCTGTAGCGGGAGACGATGGGGGTAGCCATGAAGTTACTGTCTGGCTTTAAGCTTTGAGCAGGAGGCATGATGTTTGGAGAAATTGTCCTAATTTATCTTACCTTGAGGGAAACTGAAGACCTGCAAAATTTGTGTTTTTTGTTTTTTTTGGGTTTTGTTCATATTCCTAATATGTCCTTATTTTTGCTTCTTGTCTAAATAGGACAATTATTTCTATGGTCCATCTAAGCTTTGATTTCATGACTAAGGGAAGTAGGCATATTGACTGGGCAAATATTTAGTAAACTTATAAACTGTAGGACACTTTGATGGGAGGGGAACAAGGGAGAATAAGACACTGTCCCAAAAGAAGTTGAAATCTAGAGGGCGTGTGTGTGTGTGTGTGTGTGTGTGTGTGTGTGTGTGTGTTTGTACACACGAGTCAACAGCGGGAATCAGTAAAGAAGGCATCACTTATGGACGGGGAAACAGATGATCATTTGCTAAAAAGAGATAAAACATGGTTTGGTAGAAATTTCAAGGACTTTGGCATCAGAAAGATTGGAACATACATTGTAATACTAGTAACAGGGCAATTTACTTAATTTTTCTGACCCTGAGTTTCTTCACGTAAAATAAGACAGTAATGTCTACTTTTTGACAGCTGTGATCATTGAAGGAGAAAAGGCAAAATTGTAAACATCCTAACATATAGTATAGATGGAGATAATTGAAACTTCTATCACTAATAAAAATTATAATATATATTGTCCCTAGTTACATGACCAAACGGGTTAGTCAACTTCACGCGGAGTTGGGGGTGGTAGGAAGGTGCCGATGAGTCATTAAAGGATGTTTAAAGGTAGACGGGATTTTAAAGAATTTATCATTCTATAATAAAAGGAGCTTGCTACTTGACCTTGGGAAAGGTAATATTTACTTTGAATTAGATATACAGGAAATTGCTATACCATGAAGAGATTTCTAAACTTGCCCAGACATTTCTAGGCACAACCTTTATCCCATATGGCTGCTTAATTGCCCTGACTTCACTGTAGGACAGACTAGAAGAAAGTGCCCCAGTGGAGGGAAAATACCCCTCTCTGCCCCCTGCCCCATCACAAAGCTGAAGAGGCATAGTGAGAGGGTCTCTGGGAGAGACCAACTGGACGTAGTGGAGAATAGCCACCACTCCTGAGAAGGGCTTAGAGACAGGGACAAGAAAAAAACAAGGGGGAAGAAATGAAAGAATCAAAAAGGTGATTTTTACTGTCATACGAACTTCAAGGGGAACAAACGGGAATCTGAACAGCCCCAGTGAATAAATAGAAACTTTCTCTGCCTTGATTGCTGTCATGGAATGTCCAGAGCATAAAATGACTAAGGAAAAATATCAACCAGCTAGGAGGAAAGACTGAGGCAGCCCCCAGGTGACAGTCCCAGCCAGAGGAGTTGGGAGGTGGAGCAAAAGTAAAGGGAGAACAATGTGAAGGATGCTGTGTGGATACAGGCCGGGAAGATCTACGTACCATTCAGTGCAGTCATTGTATATACTGCAAATGCTGCCCTGGAAGAAGGTAGTCAAATTAGACACTGCTCTGCCCTACTCAGGATCTGGAGAGGGACAGACAAGCAAATGAACAATTAGGATGCAATAAGGTAATTGCCACAATGAAGGCTGGAACATGTTATCAGGTGGGAGTCTAGGAAGGGGTGTCTGAGTCTGTTTGCGGGAAGTCCAGGGAGGCTTCACAGAGGAGGCAGTGCTTCATTGGAGACTGGAAGGATGAGTAGGAGTTCTTCTACATAGACAGCAGGAAGAGGACAGTTCAGGCAGAGAGGAAGAGGGTGCATGTGGATAAAGAGAAATTACAAAACATCCATCTATGAGAGATCAGGGTTGATTCCCAGAAGAGTGTTTTCCTGTGCAGCTGGACAAGAGCATGTGTGTGAAGTCAGTCTGAGGAGATTATTCTGTCTGGGCTGATAAGCAGAGGTCACATCGTGTGGGGTCTCATGTCACACTCTAAGCTAAGATTGACTCTGTGGGCATTTGGAGTCATTAAAAAAATTTGAGCATGAGTGTAACATGAAATGCTTTGTGCGTTAAAATGCTCACTCAGCAGTGAGAGATTTTTAAGATTCCTAGTCTCCCATTCTAGGAGCTGAGTGACTATGGGGCTCTAAGAGACACTGGGGTCCTCCTACAACAGTAGTTCTTAATATGGGGTGAAATCTCCTTCTGGGGGACATGGTGCAGTATGTTGAGACAGTTTATGTTTTCATAACTTGGGGTGAGGTGAGGGTTCTTATGGGCATCTACTGAACAGAGGCCAGGGATGCTATTAAGCACACAATAATGCACAGGACCAGTGTCACAACAAGGCATTACCTGGCCCAGAATGCCATGATGCTGAGGCTGAGAAACCCTGTTTGAGAGAGCGTCCTAACCATCTAAGGCAACTGCATCATTAGAGTCCTTTCGACAACTCTGGTAGGTGCTTCGAGTGGGGACCATGTGTCTGTATTTTCCTGGTTGTGCTTACTCTAGTCAAAACATTCTGCTCTCTCCCTTCCGAGGACAGATCATAATTTATGATTTTATAATTCTTATAGAAATACAGACAATAGAATGCATAATTTGTGTGATTTTTTGGTTATTTAGGGTCTGCTCCCTCACTAGACGAAAGACTCTGTGAGAAAAAGGTCACTTCATCTGTCCCAGACACCAGCAATTAGTACTCAGCTCATAGTTAGCATTCAATAAACTTTATGGAGAATTCAGTACGAGGTGAAAGGTTAAGACATGAGGTGTTATTTGCAAAACTTAACAAGGGCCTGTTATAACAGAGTACAG